CTTGCTGTCTACATCAATGCCAGTCCTCAACGCTGGGAAGCGTTCTGTACCTACAGGCTGAAGGGCCAAAGCTTGTGCCTATACAGGATGTCAGAACTCGCTGGAACTCAACCTTTTTGATGCTTCGACGTGCTAAAAAACTCCAATCAGCATTTGATAAGTTCTGTTCACAATATAATCAGCTCATTTTACATTGAACCAAGAGAAGTGGCGTCAGATTGAATATCTTCTTCCGATCACTCAGCCTTTCTTCAAATTCACAACCCTTCTTTGAAAGACTAGAGATATTACTATTTATCTAGTTTTTAGCATCTACAATAAGCTCTTTGGTCATCTTGAAGAGTCAATGAGTCAGCTTGAATGAAAGAAGGTTCCTTCGAAGCAGGTCATGCTGACTGCTCTTCATGCAGCAAAGGAGAAGCTTTCACAATACTATGCTATGACGGACGAGATTGATAGTGATCTCTATGCAATTGGCACAATTATCTCTCCACAGCAGAAGCTCCAGTTCTTCCGTAGGAAGGAATGGCATGATCTGAAAACGGATTGGCATGGACAATATCGCAAGAGTCTTGAAGATTACCTTGAGGTTTACAAATGGCGTCTTTCAGATATACAGTTGGTATCCAAGGTTCAGTCGTCTGCAACTGTAATATTGGAACTCGAGGTCTTTTGCGAGCCAGAGGAGTCATCTGGACTTCATCACTCGTCTTCTAGTCATTGTGATGAGCTAACACAATATCTCAAAAGTAGTAAGTGCAATACCCCTTTTAAGCAATGTAGATTAACCTTTATTATTATTATTAATCAAGTTTATTGTCCGTACCCGGCCCTACTGGCTATGACAGACCACTGGAAGTCTTGGTGACGCCCTATCGGCCTCACCCCTATCAGAATCATGCATGCAAAAATTCAAAAATCACTATCTCGTCCCCATATCGCCGATATGCCAGGGACCTTTGGGCACTCTCCCTAGGCTAATCCTTCCGGAGATCCCTTATAGTTCCAAACCCGTGGGCACGCCTAGTTGGTACAAACCCTGACTAGTGTGCCCTTATCCCTATTCATCATCCAATGTGACACCTGGGCCAGCTTCCTCCAACGTATCCCACCCCCACGGGGGGCGGATAGCTGAAGTGGTAACAGCTGTCCTTGGAGCCTCCATTCGGTACCCATCTTCGCTGATTGACATGGCCGTAGGTTCGACTCCTACACCCCTCACCAAAACAATTACCACAAATTATCGTGGCAGCTGCAAGTGGGTGCTGCTGCCAAGGCTCGCGTGCTAGCGCATTATATCTAGCTACCGTGGGGCTTTGCCCTAAGAACCGCACCAATTCTCGGGAACCCTTTTAAAAACCATCCGACCCACCTACGGGACAGGACACCCGAGGCTAGCCTAGCTAGTGGTTAGTCCCTTATGGGGCAAGACTGTGACGGCCAATAAGTAGGCTGCGATGCCGATATTGGTAACTGGAAGCTCAGAAGTGGTTGGAGAGTGGGCGGTAGTGGAGCAATAGGAAAGATAAGGAACTATTGTATCTAGCTTGAGAGGACAGAAGCGGCAGCCGGTTACTATGGGTGCATATATAAATGTATAGTAGCTTAATGTGTATCCCCCCAATATCCCTAGGGGGGGATGAATAGGGGTGAGGGCACACTAGTCAGAGTTTGTACTGATTAGGTGTGCCCACGGGTTTGGAACTATAAGGGATCTCCGGAAGGATTAGCCTAGGGAGAGTGCCCAAAGGTCCCTGGCATATCGGCCACATGGGGACGAGATAGTGATTTATTTTGAATTTTTGTATGTAGGATTCTGATAGGGGTGAGGCCTGTAGGGTCTCACCAAGGCTTCCAGAGGTCTGTCATAGCCAATAGGGCTGGGTACGGACAATAAACTTGAATAATAATAATAATAATAATAATCCCACCCCCACGCATCGCTAGACTCAGCCTCTCTGGCTGTCCGCTCATTATCATTAAACAGGTTGGCTTCAGCCACGAATTGCAGCAATCCCTGTGTCGCTCTAGGCTCAGCAAATAGCCTAGCCTCGGGACTTTCCTCAGCCGCTGTAGGTAGCGGTACTCCAGCTTTCTCGAGGGCTCGATATAAAGCCCTCCGTCCTGTACGGCGTCCTCGGCATTCAAAAAGCACATGCCTCACTGTCTCATGAGGCTCCTTGCATGCCTGACACTCAGGCGATTCCCGTCGGCCTATCCGGTGTAGATAGGTGCCAATTGGGGCATGTCCTGTCTTCAGCTGGTAGTACCGACTAGCCAGTCTTTTTGGGGCTTTTCCCGCCACTGGGTCAAGGTTCCAGCCTCGAGGCATCTTGTAGACACGTCCGTCTCTATGCCTGCCTTGTACAGCGTTGATTCGAGCCCATTCAGATACTGCAGCTCTTCTTGCTTCCGTGCAAGCCCTTCTAACGTACGCTAGAGACAGGTGCTCAAAACCAGGTGCGGTCTGTTTACTAGCTGCGCGTTTAGCAGCTTGATCAGCCTGTTCATTCCCTACCACTCCTGAGTGGCCCGGAACCCATTGTATTGTTACTGGCTGACCTCTCATAGCTAGCTTCTCCACTGCCCTGTGAGCCCTAAGAACAAGGGCTTGCCCAGGGCCTGGTCTTGCTGACTTGAGGCGATCAATAGCATTCTGCGCGTCAAGGAGTACCCAGATGGGACCGAGAGGTTGCCTCTCAAGTGCCCATTCAAGTGCTGTAGCCACTCCCATTAGTTCCGCGTCAAACACCTCGTGTCCGTGGCCCATTGGCACCTCTACGTGTTCCCAGGGGCCTCCAGGTACAGCTTGTAAAGCGACACCGGCGCCGGCACGTCCTGTATCGAGTCTGGAGCCATCGGACCAAAACGTCGTTCCAGCGCGCTGTTGATTAGCCTCCGTTAGGGCCTCTTCATTGTCAATGACTCGGATCGAGCCTGGGAAGCCTTTAAGCTCGCATTGTTTAGTCCTTTCGATTCCTCCCGAGGGGTCTCTGCTCAGCCGTTGAGCGAGGTGCTTTGCAAGCCTTTGGCTGAGTCGATTCGGCACCTTGTTATCTCTAGAGGCCCACTCACGGTCGTCTAGCGGTTGCTCTCCAGGTTGTGCGTGGAGGTCACCATGTCTAAGGGTTACTGGAAGTATCTGCGCTGTAGGATGCGTGTCAGGCAGTGTGAGTAGCCTCGCTGTATATTGAGCCACTCTAGCGTCCAGTAAGGCTGTCGCTGGCTCTAACGCTGCCTCTCTGATTAGAGCTCCAATTGGGGTCTTTGGGAACATGCCCGTGATAGCTCTGGCTTGCTTATTGATTAGAACTTGGAACCTCTGTGCCCATATTTTCTGGCCTTGCCACCAAAACTCGGCACCCCAAAGGAGTTGAGCTTGTGCCGTAGCCTTTTGTATGCGCCTCACTAATGCTGGGGGTAGCCCATTGGCTCTGCAGAGTGAGTTCAACCGGATTATCGTGCTTCTTGCTATCTTGATTCGAGCGTTGTAGTGATTCTTCCATGTAAGACGGCTGTCCAGGAGTATACCTAGCCACCGTACTGTTGGTTTGTGTCAGAAGAATCAAGAATCCGCAGCCAATGGATTGACTAGATAGTGTTACACTACTGCACTACGGAAGCAAGGATTATCCGAAACCATTAGGGTTAGGGTATCAGAGCCAGCATATCCGGATGTTAGGACATGGCTATGATGACTATGACACGGCAGAACCGATCCATCAGAGCCCATTGTAGGAAACAGGATATGAAGGATATGATAGGGATAAGGTATAAAAAGACGCTCGTTTACCGTGTAGCTAGCTTTACTCTATCGTCTTGAATTAACCGTGCTAAGTACCCCTTAGCTTTGACAACTTGAGTATACGTTCTTCTATCGGGGGGCGGATAGCTGAAGTGGTAACGGCTATCCTTGGGGCCTCCATTCGGTACCCATCTTCGCTGATTGACAAGGCCGTAGGTTCGACTCCTACACCCCTCACCAAAACAATTACCACAAATTATCGTGGCAGCTGCAAGTGGGTGCCGCTGCCAAGGCTCGCGTGCTAGCGCTTTATATCTAGCCACCGTAGGGCTTTTGCCCTAAGAACCGCACCAATTCTCGGGAACCCTTTTAAAAACCATCCGACCCGCCCACGGGACAGGACACCCGAGGCTAGCCTAGCTAGTGGTTAGTCCCTTATGGGGCAAGACTGTGACGGCCAATAAGTAGGCTGCGATGCCGATATTGGTAACTGGAAGCTCAGAAGTGGTTGGAGAGTGGGCGGTAGTGGAGCAATAGGAAAGATAAGGAACTATTGTATCTAGCTTGAGAGGACAGAAGCGGCAGCCGGTTATTATTATTATTATTATTATTATTATTATTAATCAAGTTTATTGTCCGTACCCAGCCCTATTGGCTATGACAGACCTCTGGAAGCCTTGGTGAGACCCTAAAGGCCTCACCCCTATCAGAATCCTACATACAAAAATTCAAAATAAATCACTATCTCGTCCCCATGTGGCCGATATGCCAGGGACCTTTGGGCACTCTCCCTAGGCTAATCCTCCCGGAGATCCCTTATAGCTCCAAACCCGTGGGCACACCTAATCAGTACAAACTCTGACTAGCGTGCCCTCACCCCTATTCATCCCCCCCTAGGGATATTGGGGGGATACACATTAAGCTACTATACATTTATATATGCACCCATAGTAACCGGCTGCCGCTTCTGTCCTCTCAAGCTAGATACTATAGTTCCTTATCTTTCCTATTGCTCCACTACCGCCCACTCTCCAACCACTTCTGAGCTTCCAGTT